CCACCTGATTTGGTGGCCTGTAGCAGACACCAACCACAATATCACTGCTGTTGTTTGCTCCTTTAAACTTAAGCCGTAGACTCTCAACAGGTTTTTCTCCCTCTTTATACTGGAGTTCAGAGCAGTCATAGTGCTCTCCTCTTCCTTTTCTCCCCTGCCTGTTCTTCCTGAACAGTCTATACCCTTCCATGACAGCGCGCTAGTCATGCGAGTCATCCCACCAAGTCTCTGTCATCTCAATTAAATCATATTTGTGGGACTGGGCCAGGGCCTCCAGTTCTTCCTGTTTGTTTCTCAGGCTTCTCGCATTAGTGTACAAACACCTCAGATAACCAGTTGATCTCCCTATCTTCTCCATTCGAATCAGGGGTCCTCCTTTCTTGCTCGTTCCTCTCTGCATTTCTTCCCGGTATCCGACTTTCCCACTCCCCTCAGGGTTTTGGTCACCGTCCCCCAATGAACCTAGTTTAAAGCCCTCCTCACTAGGTTTGCAAACCTGCCCGTGAAGATGCTCCTTCCTCTCTTGGTTAGGTGGATCCCATGTCTTCCTAACAATCCTTGTGCCCGGAACAGAGTCCCATGGTCAAAGAAACCAAAGCCTTCTCTGCAACACTACCTGTGCAACCATGTATTTACGTCCTCAATTTGACGATCCCTGCACCCCCACTCCTGCATCCCTCCCCATCCCAGACCTTGCACGCTTATCCCCTGCCCCAAGTCACAACCCCCTCCTATGCCCAAACTCCATCCCAGATCTCACATCTCCTCTTGCACTCTAGTCCTTTATCTCAAGCCTCCTTCTGCACCCATCCTCCATCTCAGATCCCCACACCTTCTCCATTAATATTATTCAAGAGTGCAGCCTTTGACCTTTCACCAATTTCTTGGAGTGGTCCCCATCAAAAATCATTGCCCACCCTGGGCTAGACCTCCCCTTTCACCTGTAGATGCAGTCTCTCTATTTTAGAGTTGACTTGCATGAATAGACCAGTGGCTGTGGAATCTTACACTGACTCTGCCTGCGTTGTACATGTTTTGTTCACATGTGACCCACAAACCTATTGGGGGTGGTTCATTGTCCTATATAGCAGCACTTAGACAACTTACAGAGTGAGAGAATGAGTTTGCTCTACAGCCTTCATGGAGCACCAGCTGGATTTTAGCTGAAGCCATAAAGGCTCATATGCTAAGCTCCAGAGGTGCCAGATTTGGGTCTGCCTGTTGGGGTTACACATAGACCTGATCAACACTAGACCAGGAAGGACGGCTTAATGTATGCAACTCCAGCTGTGCAAAATGCGTAGCTAGAGTCGGTTTACCTTAAGCCAACTGCAGGTGGACAACAGGAGCAAATGCTCTCGTTGGCTTCCCTTACTTCTCGCAAAAGGAGTTCTGGACACCAGTGGGAGCTGCCCTCAGCATTTGATTTAGGGGTCTATATTAGGCCTGTTAAATCAAATGCCAGAAGATTGACCTCTGCAGCATTGATTTTCTGGTAAGTATAGATGTGCCCATATGGAGCCTTCTTCCCTTGGAGTGTCAGTCTGACTCCTTTCATTTGCAACAGAGTCACACAAAAGCCAAATAACATTGTGTGATAATTGCTGGGCGCTGCAGTTCAATTTGAACTCATTGGACAGAGGTGCACCTATTGATTTCTCTTCCCCCACAGGTGCCCTGGTGGGCATTGTCCTTTTTTGTCTTCTCATTTTGTAGTCTTCTGTTATTTCTCTGCTTTGGAAGGTATGTAACTCAAAGTGAATACTAAGCCATGATCCATATGCTCAATCCAACTGGTTGAAAGTGTTGGTTTTAAGAGCCAAGAATTGACCACATTGATTTGTCAAAAAAAAAAGTTAAGTCTTTCTCCACAAAGTGTTTAGAAGAAAAGAAAAATAAGAGAAGCAAGAGGAGAGAATGCCTGTCTTCTCCAAAGTCCAGCATTCGGAATGCACCAAAGGGGATAATTATTTATATCAAAGTAAAAATAGCTCTCTGAAAAAAGTTCTAAATCAGGTGTTGTGCAATGGGTCTCAGCTACTGCTACATGTAGAGATGCTGCTACTTCTAATGTTTGCAATTAATTATCTAGGTTTCTGCCTTGCCAAATGAATGGTGAACCTCTGACAGGGCTCCACTGCTGTGGACCTGTCTCCCACTCAATGACTCATAGCAATTTGCAACAGAAATTCACCTTTAATTGTGAGACAGTGGTTCAGAGCAGTCCAAGCTGTGTTACGGATTAGAATGAGCAATTATTGGGCAGGCACTGACTGGTGAAGTTGAGTTCTTGGCCTAGAAAAGAGGTACATTTGACCCCAAAATCAGGAAATTACTGCACTGAAGGAAGGAACCTGTATTTTTGCATTGCAGCCAATTGGGGCCCCATTTTCTGAACTAAGGACCAAATTTTTGACAGCTCAGCACACACAACTGAGGCCACATTTTCCAAAGTGCATAGCACCCTGCATCTTCCATTGTGGCCATATTTTCACAAGAGTTCAGTGCCCACTATGGACTCACTGGCTACGTCTACACTGGCCCCTTTTTGAAAGTAGGAATAAGAGATCCTCCGGAATAGGGCTTTATTCCGGAGGATCGCGCCAGTCTGAATGCTCTTTTCCGGCTTTTCCCCAAGCCGGAAAAAAAGCGGCGGCCATCTTTATTTAAATCCCGCGGGGGATATTTAAATCCCCCGCGCATTTCCCTATTCCAAAGTTCTAAATTAGCATGGCTTTTCCGAAGAAGGGGCCAGTGTAGACGTAGCCAGTGTGTTGAACTCTTTGGAAAACCTGCCTCGCTGAATGTTAAGCCTTCTGGAATATTCTAGCCTTATGTCACTTGTGCACAATACTTTCTCTACTCTGGGGCTGAGAGGAGGAGCTCTGAAATGGCATCCTCATTATTGCTGGCCTATTTTGTAAGAGAGATCTCCTAGAATATTTTCAGGCATGGTATAAATAATAATAATAAGTCTTAACAATATGAATAAATACCCAAGAGTGTCCAGTTTCACACCTTGACACAGGAAGCCAACAGCCTGATTTCGAGCTCATTTACTCATATAATAGTGCTCCAGCTGTGTTTTCCCAGTGACAGACTACTATAACATCAAATATTTCATGTATGTTTTTCTCAGTCTCTTTAGGTTGGGGCTATACATGTAATTCACTGGCTGTTGATAGCGTTCTGTCAAAACGCAGATGCTTAGAAAAGCCCAAGTGTCTGTAGTGATCACAGACTTTTTTTAACTGGCCTTGTATTAAAGGTCCAGAAAATGGAGAAGGTCAACAAAACTAATTCAGATTGTTTTTTTTAAATTGAGGCTTGTCTCTAAGTTCAAATAAAGACTGTACTGAAAAAAAAACAAACCCTTGCTCTCATTATTCTCACAGAAATGTTCTTACTGTGCTGCTCTTCATCGCAAGGGCTTTCATTTCAGGAGGATTTCAGGCTGCTTATGTTTACACTCCTGAGGTGAGTAGGGTCATTGTGTAACAAGAAAATTTAATAGGAATGAGGCCCTAGTGAAACAGTTACATTTTATGACCTCATAATTGGCCTTATTCAGGCTATCATTTCTTGAGCCATTGTGTTGTCTGAGTGTTATAGACCCCACATTCAGTTTTTCCCTTTGATAAAGAGATGCAAGGTAAGAAGAGAGCTGGATCCTAGGCCAGTGGGCCTCAAAATGCGGATCAGGACCCCAAAGTGGGTTTCAGCCCCATTTTAATGGGGTCAGCAGGACTGGCATTAGACCTGCTGGGGCCCAGGGCTTAAGCCAAAGCCTGAGCAAACTCCCAGGCTCAGCCTGGGTAGTGGGACTCACGTTACAGACCCTCTCGTGGAACTGAAACACTTGGATTTCAACTTTGCTCCCCCCACCTCCTTCCGTCCAGGGCAGCAGAGTGTGGGCAGGGCTCAGGCTTCAGTTCCCCCTGCTGGGTTCATGGAATAATGTTTGTTGTCAGAAGGGGGCTAGGTGCAGTGAAGTGTGAGAAGTCCTGTTTGAGGTTTAATATATTGACGTTTTGTCTGCAGGTTTACCCAACAGCTACTCGTGCTTTGGGCCTAGGAACATGCAGTGGAATGGCCAGAGTGGGAGCCTTAATAACTCCATTTATTGCACAGGTAAACTCTTTGAGTGGCACAGGACTGCAGTGGAGAAAATGGCCTCTCTGTAGTAAGGCCAGTTGGTGACTGTCCTCGCCCATGTAGGTTGATGCCAGTCAGAGGGTGAGCTAGCCCTTTAAGGGAGAGATGGATTCCATCTCACCTGGGTCTGATTTCCCTCTCAGTCCAGGGGTCACATAATGGGAGCATATGACAGTGAATCAGGCCTGCTTGGGGGCACAAGGTCATTCTGAGGTCAGTTGTGAGAGCTCCTCAAAGTGGATCAAGGAGGCTACATGAGGGGTTCCCCACAGGTGGGTAGGGGAGCGTAAACGTAAAAGGCGCAGGGGCCAGTGAGGAAAGGTGATGGTTGGGAACAAGCCTCAGGAGAACCCGACACCAAGGGCTGTGCCCTTACACAAAGCTGCGTGGCAGATGTGTGGTGTTTTGAATTTTTTGTTAATAAATCAGAGTGCTAAATAGGGAGGGTAACTGTGAAAATACCAACAGAGAGAGGTCTGACTAATTAAGGAAAAAAGGGAAACTGAGGCAGAGGGGACCCCCGGAAGTCAGGTTAGATTAGCACCTACTGCAGTATCCTTTTCTCATGCAGTAAGGATGCAGGCTGCCATTAACACTGCTCATACTGATCAGTACCTCTGCAGGGCCTAGGTTTGAAGGGCATGTCCTGGCCATTGCCCCATGATCTCTGTACATTGGGGGCTGACTGGAGAGCTGTGCTAGATCTGTGCTAGGTCACAGACTCATAGAATTGGATGGGATCTGGAGAGGTCATCAAGTTCAATCCCCTGCAACCATGGCAGGACCAAGCACCAGGATGGAAAACGAGCAGCCTCTGGGTCAAGTGCAATTCACCAGGGTTAGTCCCTAGTGAGCTGCCAGCACTTTATTTACTTGCACATCCACAGGTACGGCCGCTCGCAGCTCCCATTGGCCACAGGGGGTAATAGCCGTATCTGCGGATGCACAGATAAATAAAGCACCAGTGGCCTGAGCACACCAGAGGCTAATCCTGGTGCATAGCATCCAGCCCTTGGGCCACTTGCGGCCAACACCTGATGTAGATGACTCCTGACAGTTGTCTAACCTGCTCTTAAAAATCACCAATGATGGAGATTTCACAGCCTCCCCAAGTAATTTATTCCAGCTCTTAATCAGTCTGACACTTAGGAAGTTTTTCCTACTGTCCAACATAAACTTCTCTTGCTGCAATTTAAGCCCGTTGCTTCTTGTCCTATCCTCAGAGGTTAAGGAGAACAATTTTTCTCCCTGCTCCCTGTAATGACTTTTTAGGTACTTGGAAACTGTTATCATGTCCCCTGTCAGTCTTCTCTTTCCCAGACTAAACAAATCTAGCACTTTCAATTTTTCCTCATACATCATGTGCACTAGACCTTTAATCATTTTTGTTGCTCTTCTCTGGACCTTCTCCAATTTATCCACATCTTTCCTGAAATGTCACACTCAGAACTGGACGCAGTACTCCAAACAAAGCCTAATCAGTGTGGATTAGAGCAGAAGAATTATTTATCATGTCTTGTTTACAACACTACTGTTAATGCATCCTAGAATGATATTTGTATTTTTGCAACAGTGTGACACTGTTGAATTATATTTAGCTTGTGGTCCACTGTGTCCCCAGATCCCTTTCTGCAGTACTCCTTCCTAGACAGTCACTTCTCATTTTGCACGTGCTACAATGATTGCTCCTTCCTAAGTGGAGCACTTTGCATTTGCTCTTATTTAATTTCATCCTGTTTACCTCAGGCCATGTCTCCAGTTTGTCCAGACCATTTTGTATTATAATCCTACCCTCTAAAGCAGCATTTCTCAAAGTTTTCTGTGGGCCTGCTTTGGGAAAACCACTAGCAGGCCCCCATGCCACTTTGTTTACCTAAAGGGTCCATAGCCACGAAGCCTCACAGCTCCCATTGGCTCCAGTTCAACATTTCCAGGCAAGGGGAACCACAGGGAGCAGTGTGGGTGAGGTCCAAGAAGCTATTTTCTGTTCCTCATTTTACCTGTGTGGCTGCAAATCCCTTTCATGATACTCTTTAAAGAGAGAGTAGTCTAGTGGTCTGACTACAGGACTGGGAGCCAGGGAGTCCTAGCTCTGACTCTAGCCTTGGGCAAGTCACTTAATTTCTCTGCCTTGGTTTCCCTATCCATGAAGTAAGGATAATATTAGCCTACCTCGGAGGGGTGATGTGAATCTTAATTCAAGGTATGTTGTGTGTATTTAAAGGATAAGTATCATCTAAAAAAACAGAAAAGTATGTAATATAGTGGGCTTTTAAAAGATGGTGTTTTCCCCTGAAAGAGTTAACATTTCTCTTCTCTAAATTTTTGTTTTCTTTTGCAGAGGTTGCAGTTTTTGTCTGACCCTTTCTCTTGCTTTCCCCTAGGTGATGCTGGAATCTTCAGTCTATTTAACTCTGGTGGTTTACAGTGGGTGCTGCTTATTGGCAGCCTTGGCTTCCTGTTTTTTGCCCATTGAAACAAAAGGCCGTGGTCTCCAGGAGTCCAGCCACAGAGAATGGGGACAAGAGATGGTTGGGAGAGGATCCCACAACATGGGAGTCACCAGGTCAAATTCTGGATCACAAGAATGATAGGACGTAAAACACACACATGCACACACACACACACACCGCAAGGAAGGACAAAACAAGCAAGAATTGTATCTTTAAAAACTGAGTATATAAAGCTGACTGTGCTGTCACTGCCAATGTCATGTGTCAAAATGCAGGAACTTTTGATTTGGACCTAAGCAAATTGTGTCTTTATAATTAATCTTTGCTCATGCTCATAAAAATATACTTGTGTAATGAGAGGCATTTGATCTGGATGTCATTTGAAGTTAAGAGAGAAGGAGTTTTTAATGGTTTCTTGTGCTTGCATGGTCAGCTACTGAGCTTAAAATGTCCCATGTCAAGCAAATAGCTAGCTGAATGCAATTCAGTATCAGCTGTAATTTAAAAAAATATACTTTTGATGCCTAACAGCAAAAGATTAAATAACTACCGTATACTTGGCATAGCACAGGGTGGATTCCATATACTACAGAATAAGGTTTTTTAATTAGATGCCTGCCTTGCACTTTTTTAGTCATCAATAACACATAACAGCAAACCAACCAATGCTTTCCAGTTCCCTTGCCTATACATTCTGTTCCTTGGAAATTACCAGGTGCTGAGAAGGTTGTTTGGACTGTGCTGTGAGTATGTGCTTTCATCAAGGCGCAATAGTCCAAGTCTGGGAATAGTGCTGTTGGATGCAGAGATGGGATATCATATGAAAAGTGTAAATTCTTGCATTTTAGAACAGAATTTAACTTTTCTAATATTGCCAGAAGCACGGAGTCCTCTGTCTCTTGCATTGGTGAAGACTGCTTCAGCTGTCCTGGTATCTCTTGTGTGTGTGGAGGTGCACGCTATGGTTTACTGCATGAGTTCAGATATGTTTCCTTTCAATTTGCCTGAGTACATTCCCATAGTGGTGAATCCAATGCCCATGGTACAAATGTCTTAATCCGATCAGTCACTTGTAGCACTTTCGATGGAATTGCCTTCATGTGTCTCTCAATGGAAGCAGCTTCTCTGTCAGCTGGGCAGAACTCTAGGGGGAGCTGCCCACTGTACATGGAATGTAATGGCAAGTTATGAAGGAATGTACCTGGCATCATAACTTAAATGACAAGGAGTAAAGCAAAACCAGTGTCATCAGTGGAAGATTGACTCTCCCCTAGCTGTTTTGGTCTAGTTGATGCAGTTCTTTCTCTCACTGCAGAGAGTGGTCACGTTCAGGTGAGGATGACTCCATTTATATGTACTATATATAGCCTCTTAATTTGTAAGGAATGGATCCATGAATGAGGATTCAGATTTCAAAACTTGAAGGATGTAAAGCGAAGGAATGTGTAACAAAATCAGACAGTTGTCATTCCACAGGTCTTGATATTTTTCCAGAAATCCACCTTATGGAATACACTATCACATGTAACTAAGAGATACTTCATTCTCGTTGCTAGGCTATGGGAAGCAATACATTTTCAGTAATACGTGTGGTCAGTCGTTTCACAGAAATATAGTGTTGTGTGTGCTATAGATTTTGCACAAGACCATATTTTAACTACATGGTAGACCAAGTCCCCAGGGCTGGAAGAGTTCACTGAATCTGCCAGTGGATGCAAAATAAGGGAACACAATTCAAGTTCAACTTTCATATACTGAAATACAGAACTCTACTACTATAACACTCCAAGAGGTATTAGGGTGTTTAACTTATACCATTATATGGAATTATACGTGGGAAATTCCTGGAAGGAATTTGAGAATCTCCAGATTATCAGAAAAGGCCAAGGCATTGGTGACTTTCTGCATGGAAGTATCTTATGGTTCAGGAGGTGTATGATTGACAAGGGACCCAAAGTCTGTATAGTCACTTATCATTAAAAGATGGTGGTTACAGTGATGCACTCCAGAAATAACTGGTCTGAACAGGTAAATGTTACATTTTCATATTAATATGAAAATGTAATTCAGTTCAGAGAGCTCCAGCTTTACAAGTATAAATGGCCCATTTAGCCAGTATCTTGTCTATTTCTAGTACAGTTTGAACCTCCCAAATCTTAGTATGAATAGCTAGCTGAATGCCCAGAATTGGAGACTCTTTTGAAAACTTGATTCATTGTAAGTATGTGTTAGCAGAGAGAACATACACATGAAACCTACAGTCTCATAGGATTGCTGTGTTAACAAGCTAGCTAATGAGTCTTTTAGCTTGCTATTTAGTACCTCCTCTACTTAAAAATCTACTTCTCTGCCTTTCACATGATCAGATGCACACACTGCTTTGATTTTTGAGTCAGCAGTTTGAAGATGTGACATTGCAATGGCCTTCACAATGTGCATTCAGAGAGTTTTGTGTGAAGTGTGTGTGTGTGTGTGTATGTGCGTATATACCTGTACACACTTCCAAACAAAATAAATATTTTAATAGATATTTATGGGCTATGCAAAGTCTTTTAATTTTGTTGCAAAGCTGGTACCCATTTAACCTATGACATTTACAATATTAAAAAAAACATTTGGAGGCATTTTTGGTTTTCATTTTATCGACATGCTGCATTAAAAAATGTACATGGTTATAGAAATACCAAGCTTGGCCCTGCTGAGACAGCTACAATTCCTAGGTCTTCAGTCAAGAACAGCAGTGCCTACCTAAGGTGTGATGGAAGCTGTCTACACTGGCCGCTTGATTTTGCGCAAAAGCACTGACGTTCAGCTGTCCGAAATCAGTGCTTCTTGCGCAAATGCTTTGACGTTCCCATTTGGGCAAAAGCCCTTTTCTGGAAATGTTTTTGCACAAGAGGGCCAGTGTAGACAGCTAAAAACTGTTTTGCGCAAAAAAGCCTCAATGGCGAAAATGGCGATTGGGGCTTTCTTGCGCAAAACCGTGTCTAGATTGGCACGGACGCTTTTCCGCAAAAAGTGCTTTTGCAGAAAAGCATACATGCCAACCTAGACGCTCTTTTCCGCAAATGCTTTTAACGGAAAAACTTTTCCGTTAAAGCATTTGCAGAAAATCATGCCAGTCTAGACATAGCCTAGGAGTTTTGCTATTGACTTGAGTGGGAGTAAGATCTGGCCATGAAGCAGCTGCAGCTTAACTCTAGAGTTCCAAGTATCCCTGAATGTTGTTGTTAATAGTGGAGGACATTCCATTCTCAATGTCCATCAAGAAAAGCTGACAAACATTTGGGTTGATTCACTATAGCCTATAAATAGTCATGTCATATTTTGTTAATATGGCAACATTATTAATGTATATAATTAAGCTTCAAAAGTTTCTGTTTTAAACACCTGTTGTGTATTTTTCACTGGGGAAGGAATTAATATAGCTAGTTCATTTCAAACAAATAAAATGAGAACATTTTGAATTCAACGTAGGAGCAAACAGAATTGTGAGATTCACAGATACGTTAATGTGCAGAGCTGTTGTGGGGAACGTACTTCTCCAAGTATGCTTTGATGAGTGATTTAGTATTCCTAAATGCTTGCTGAAAGAACATTGAATGTTATCTTGTGTTTGAATGTACAGTTTCTAAACTGGATACATTTTAATGTTTAAAAAACTTTTTGTGTATATCAGGCTAGTTGTATAATATTCTTTTTGTTCCTATGTTAATAATGCAACATTGGATAGTTTGATTCCACACTCGATATTTTATGTTGAATAAATGAATAGTTTTTACAATAATGATTTGTTTGCTGTCTTAGATGTATAATTAATTATGGGACCTTGATAACCACAAGGTGTTATGTAATTTCAAACAATATCTCTGTCCTGATTTTTAGATATCCTAGATATCTGCAACTCCCACTGATTACAGCTGGGTCTGTGGGTTCTAAAAATTAGACCCTTGACTGTGTATTTGTTTTACACTTGAAAGGTATAAAATTACAATGCTGTTAGGTGAAAAATTACAAATTTCTTAACTCCTTTATCAATAAGCTTATTAAGCCTGAAAGGGCTTTAAAGATTTGATTTAGTTTTCATTTTTAAGATTTCTTTTTACTTTTTGAAATTCACATAGCTTGAGCAAAGAGAATAGCCTGTCTGTGGGCAATAACTCTCTAGCAGATTCTACTGTTATGTCCTCAGTGCTGCATACACTGCAAATGAACTTTTGTTAAACCTTCTCATTCAGATTTTATTTGATGGAAACTATTGTACTGACCTTAGATTTTGCAAAAGCTTTTTTGTATAAAACCTAAATTTTAGGTCAAATTTGACCTGACAATATCACTTTGTCAACGATAATTTTATTATATGTTCTCCTTCATGTCTGAGTCAAAATGATTAATGGACTTCAAAGTACTTTTTTAACCTGAAGTTGTCCAACCTCCATGTGCAGCTACAGTAGAAGCCATAATGCCTAGGGGGAGAGTAAGCAATAGCTACAGAATGGGACTGAGCTGTGACAACAGTGTCTGGGAGTGAGCAGGAAGTTAAGCTCTTGGAGGTTTCTCTGAACTTACTGGACTCACAGGCCATTTCTGAGGCTCTGTCATCACTTCTTGCAGCGCAGCATGATGCCTCTCTGTTTCCAGTTGACATATTTATTGCAATTTGACCCTACTTTCAGCTTTGCTTCACAAATATGTGCAATTGTCATTAAGAACTGAGAGGTGAGCATTACCAGTTGGCAGCCCCTGGAAACAGAGATCTTTTGTCTGTGAGCAGGTACAAGGTGGACCATAGCAGTGCAAGTTTCAACCCCACTCTCCCCTCCTCTGTCTCAACTCTGATATAGGATGGAAAATCTCCAGTTCTATTTCATCCTGGGTCTCTCTGTTCAGACTGCTCACCAAGGCTAAAGCAGAGATGTGTGTATGCACTGAAATGAACAAATTAACTCCATTGCACAGGGCCAATTGGGATCGTGTTTTTAATGGTCACTTGCCCAATAGCAATAGGATTTAGTCAACGTGGTAATTTCATGAATTTTCTGTTTGTCCAGACCCTAGAATTGTGGCAATTCTATCTACAGCACATCACATCTTAGTTACAAATTCATGGAACTAAAATACTGGGGACATGGAATGAAGGTCTCCTGGACAAGAGAAGCATCATACACAAAGTAATTTAGATCCAGTCTTTACCATGCACAAATATTAGAGCCAGGCCTTTATGTTGCCAGCCTGCAAATAAAATTGCTCACCTAATCAGCTCCATTTATATTATTTTAAAAACCCACTTAGGAGCACATTTGTCATTCCAAGCAATTTACTTTAAGCCTTGATGAACTCAGCATTTACTTAGGGCTCTATGATGATTTCTTATTGCAGATTTACACTGATGTCACTTTTCTGAAGTCAACTGAGTTGTTACAAAATCTGATCCATAATAGCTTATATTGAAACTAAGTGATATTGAATAGATGACTGTTTCATTGGACAGTTTCTAATAAAATGCTATCACAGATCATTAGGATATACATTAGCCAATTGTAAACATTCATTTTTTTAAAATCTCTTGATGTTACCATGGTGACTGTGGAATTAATGAACCAGGCTTTCTGGAACTAGGTGTCGATCTTTTCCCTACGCAAAGCACACCATAGTAGTTACCTATCTTCTCTACTCCTACCCTTATGTCTTAAACATGTAGAAGAGGCTCTTCTAAATCAGTAGCTCCCAACCTTTTTGAGGATATAGACCACTTTTCAATCTATTAAAATTTTATGGACCGCCCCAAACAATATTGCTGTGTCTGCAGCTTGCACGTCCCTCAGCCCATGCTGCTTCCCAAGCCGAGGGGAGCAATGCAGGTTTCAAGGACGTTCTGGCTGCAAGAGGCTCTGCGTGGACCCCTACATTACTGCCACAGAACCCCATGGGTCTGCGGACCACAGGTTGGGAACCACTGTTCTAAATAATCACGAAGCAATGAACTGTCTACATCTATATGTACCACTGCCTTCTAGTGGATGGGAACAGAACTGTCAGCAGGACAGAACTGTTCTGAGAAGCCATGGTATGCAGTGTCATGACAACCATAAAGTCCAATGCAGCTGTAGATGTTACCCTTACTTGTGAACTACTGTGCCAAATTTTCACAAAGCACTTAAATCCATCAGTTAGGCACCTAAATCTCAATGACAGGTGCCCAACTCCATCTAACGCCCATTTGAGCCTTTTAAAACCTCTCCCTTATGAACTGAACCTCATACTCGCCCGATACTGAGCCAATGGGGCACTTGGGACAAGTAAAATGACTTGTTCAGAGTGATGGAGGGAGTCAGAGTTGGAGCTGACTCCCAGGCTGCTGTTCAGACATGCTCACTCTCCAAAGGGTGTGGTCTATTTCTACAGCCAGTTCATCTGCCAGTGTGACTCTGCCATGCACAAACCTCTCAAAGAGACAGAGAAAGGAGGCAAGGGCTGTGGCTACAGGCCTTTCAAAAGTGTTGGTGCCTCCTCTTGAATGCAATGAGCCCTGCATTTGTCAAGTTCTGTGAGCCTAACTGGCATCCTGATGGGACCTGGCAGCTGATAAGTTAAAGGAGGTAGAAGGTGACCCACAAGGCTCTGGCCCACACTGTACATGGAAAACCGAACACAATGGGTAGGTAGGGCTTGGCAGTGTGCAGCCTGACCGCACTATGGCAAGACGCCCCTAATGGGGTTACACGTTACCATAATAACTACTGGGAATAGTCTTGAAGATGGGGAGGGTCCCTTATTTGTGGACATTGCAGCAGAACTGGGTTCTGATGGGACCTCACGCTGTGATGCTGAATGCTGGACACACCCTGCTTGCGGGGAGAGGAGTATTCTCCTTTGAGCATTCTTTTAAGTCAGGGGCATTTTCTCTTAACCATTGGGAAGCCAAGAGTTACTTTTCCTGTTCCCTTATGCCGCCTGGGCTGGACCCAAACCAGACCAAACAGAAGGAGGAGGACCCAGGCTGGAGCAAGTCAACTGATCACACAACACCTTGCTGATGACAGCCCTAATTCCTCGCCGGGATACACCCTTCCCCCCCCAACACCTTATGCAATTTCTACAGCTGGTGCAATCGAACAAGAGTCAGACCTTTTCACAAGCTAATATCTCCCATGATGAGCCAAGGTGAAAGGAAATGAGAGACCAAAGTGCCAATGTGTGGTTTAGGTGCAGGTGCAGCTTGTCTGCCTGTCATCTTTGCTATATGTGGAATTTGGCAAACACAGCATTTGAGCTCCCTTAGGCTGTTCCCTTTGCTGCTGTGTAAATTGTCTGAAAACCCTGGGAATAGCGTGTCTAGCATCAGAGTGTGTGCCATTGCTACGTGCTTTAGCCCCAACGTAAGAAAAACAACTCTGCCTTCAGCTTGGCTCTTAGACCTGCTGCTGCTTGCTCAGGAGCCCTGGAGACTCTTTCTTTTAAGGAGCTTTTATCTCTTGAGCAAAGCTTACAAATCTAACTATGGGCTGGCTGAACAGCAAGCTAAGACCTCAGCTGATGCTGGATCAGACCAGGTCCAGCAATACTAACACATCTCAGTGATGAACTGCAGGCTGGTGAAGCGTTCCGCTGAACTCTGTCTGCTCGTTGGAGACTGACCTTGCAGTGTAGGAGTGCTTCTTCGCAGAAAGGCCTGCTAATGGGGGAGACAGGCAAAGGGGCAATTGCCCTGGGCACAGTAGCAGCAACAGCATCCTAACCCCTGGACACTTTAAATCACCACCAGACCACCGAGCCATGTGCTCCAGGCACTGCAAAGGGTTGGGTGGGGGGCAACTCCACCCTCCATGCAGCGCGGAGGGCTACTGCCCTCAGTCCTGCCCCTTCCACCCTCAGCCTTGCCCCTTCCAGTGACATGACACTGGGTTATCTCCAGTGTTGCATAAGGGCCTGCAGAGGCTGTCGGCTCCATTCATCACAAAGACCATTAACACAAGTTTTTGAAATATTTGCACAGTGTAGTTTATATGAGAACTGAGCAAGGATGAGACAGATGCAACAGGGAGTTAATTGGCAGCAGTCTGAAAACTGTACACGAGAGACCAGTTTTGGAGCTGCCGAGGGCATGAATGCTTATTAGGTTATTTCTGTGAAATCAAAGGCGGGCCGGTGGAGATTGGGCCAGTTTCTTTTCTTCTAGAATCCTTCCAAAGATCCTAGCAGCTTCCATGGCACATCCCCAGTGGATGGTGAGTCCAAAGCCTCCATGGCCATAGTTGTGTATCACCTACAAAAGACAGATGGAAAACTCACTGCAACTAAATGCCGGGGTTCACATGCCACAGAGTAACCCTGCAAAATAGGAACTGTCCAGGAGGGTTCCAGGCTAGCAGGCAGTTACAAGTTCTAAGGCACAGAGAGCTTCACAGCTGGAAGACAACAGCACGACAGGGCCTGGACTGCATCAGTCCACAGTAGAATTGGATATTAGGTAAAAATACGTCCCCCTGGTTGTTTTTCCTCTTTCTCGTCATCACCTGAAAGTGATTAAACCTCTAAATGCAGCAAGCCAGCTCTATGGCCTGGCATAGGGGCGCCTTTATGTAGCTAAGAGCTATGGTGGCAGTTTGCCAGGAGCCTGGGGGGACAAACCTGATTTACAAAATGGAGCACCTCACCCCTGACCTGTGTCTGCCACGAAAGCCCCGTGTCAGTTTCTCCTTCCTGACCACAGCCACACTTTAAATCTAGAAGCCTTGGCTGTGCCAGTGAATTCACTCACCGGTGGTCTGAACTAGGGGATAAGTTCGATTTAAGATACACAACTTCAGCTACGTTAATTGCTTAGTTTACATGAAGTATCTTAACTCAACTTTTGGTGCTGTCTACACTGTGGGAAATTGACGGGAGCACACTCTCCCTACAACTCCCCTTACTCCTCGTGGAAGCAGGAATAACCAGCACCGACCCAAGTACCCCCCTCAGTTCAAATTAGCCTGTCTTCACTAGACCTGCTAACTCAAACCCCGGAAGATCGACTGCAGCTGCTTCCATCTTCTCTGCAGTATAGACATGGCCTCATTGTGAGTTCCCTCCCTCCTCATATACAGTTCCAGAATCCTGCTTGGAGCAGGGAAACAGCTGATCTTGGAGTGGTTAGCAATATGTTGTTCTATTTTCAGTTTGAGTCAGCAGTCTCCTGACTGAAGTCAGGATAGCCTTGACCACAGACAATTCAAGCCTGATCCAAAACCTACTGGAGACAAGAGCATCCTGTTGAGGGCTTTGGATCAGCTCCTAAATGGCTACCTTTAGTACATCTCTTTGCCATTTAGAATCACTGCAGCAGGCACCGCACTTACAGTCGTGCTCCTGCAAGTACAAATTGTGATGTCCAATTTTTTATTTGTGCCTGCCAAGGACAATGACTCAGGGTCAGGATCAATATCTAACCTGCTTACTTCTACCAAGACAGCGTAGGGTGGATGTGATGATAAAAGAACAGAGTGATCTAAAAAATTAATTTTAATCCTGCAATGCTTTGCACAATGCTAAGCATCTCAATTAATAAACTGGTTTCTTTCCAAGAATCCTAACTTGGAATAATTTCCAGCTCAACTGAATATATTTTAATCAAATTTAATTACATTTCACGGTTTACTTCTACCAAGACAGCGTAGGGTGGATGTGATGATAAAAGAACAGAGTGATCTAAAAAATTAATTTTAATCCTGCAATGCTTTGCACAATGCTAAGCATCTCAATTAATAAACTGGTTTCTTTCCAAGAATCCTAACTTGGAATAATTTCCAGCTCAACTGAATATATTTTAATCAAATTTAATTACATTTCACGGTTGCTGTCTCTGTTAGAGTTTTAATCTCTTCCGCAAAGCTTTACACACGTATACTCCTAGTCAAACCACAGAGTCCCAATTTTATAGTCTACCTATGAAAATTAAAATGAAATCACTGAGGAGTGATTGAGGCATAAAAAATGGTGCTGCCCAGAGGCTCGTAAGAACAGATGGCACATTTAAACTTGGATTCCTAGAGCTCCTTTATCACAAGATGCTGTCAAGCAGATGCATTTCAGGGGATGTTATCCTGGTGAACTTGGAACACAGAGGCCAAATTTTAGAAATTAGAGCAACCTAGGCTAGTGAGCGGGCTGCATGAATGGCCCTCCTTCATCTCAGGAGGCCACAAGGTTGTCGTAACCAAGATGATCTCCTAGGATAAGCTAGTTTTGCAAATAGCGCTTGTGTAGCTAGTATTTGCAGGTTGTGCCAATGGAACTGTAGCAGTGCTGTGAATGGATGCAGAGGGAGCGCACAGCTCTCACAGTCAGCGTGGTGTCCAATCAGCACTCACCTCATGTCACATTCCCTCATTTTCTGTATGTGTCATTATAGTAATACTGGTAGGGAAAAAACCCTGCACAGACAGAAACCACGGGAATTGGGCAACCCTGCGTGCATGGGCAACAGTAAACAACATGTTTCATGGGCCACACATAGAACACTGATGGGCTGCATGTGGCCTGTGGGCTACAAGTTGCCCACCACTGAATTAGACTGCCTAAAATTAGATACCTAACTCCACATTTTGGCATCTATATGAAAGGGGTCCAGTGGTGCCGAGTAACTACAGCTCCCATTTGTTTATTTTTACAGTTTTGTGCCAGATTTCAAGTTATTAACCTGCCCACTCAGTCACAAGATATGTTTTAAACTGGAATCACAGGAAGAAATCTGAGGGTGGATGACAATTCTTATGACAGATGTTCCATGGTCTTTAAATTGGTAACCTGAAGAATGACCCTAACCAGCTGCTTTAGGTTCAGATTTTCATTACAGGAGATATGAAGTCCACATGCAAAAATGCCACAGGCTTTAAGCCCCAGTTTTGTGTAATCCACCTCTTTGTGTGCACAGCTACTTTCAGCATTAAGGGACTAGGTTCAGCACAAAATATGAGCCACCTTGCATATTTTAAGCAGAGCTGATCTCTTTAGTCTGCATGTAAACAATTGCAATGTGAGTGGAATATTGATGCTTCATTATCATCATAAAAACAAAATCTGCTAAATTAGTTTTGCTCTAACTGGTTATTCTGCAATAGTGGAACTGTGTGGTTGATTTGACTCAATGTATTGCTTTGAGTGCTGTTACTCTGGACTGCAATGGATTTCTACGTACAGAATATTATGTACCTCTGATTTTAAAGATCCATGATGAACTACTTCCCTTTCCAATCGAACTGTGTAGCGCACAGGGCGTAAGCCACTCCATTCATCCACAATCGTTGCTTTCTGGAAACAACAACATATCACCAGTTTTAGCTGTTAAATGTCAGTAACATCATTGCATTCAACAATCAATTGGGATGAGGAATTTTGTGGACCATGTCTGCTGGGAACAAAACTGATTCTGCCCTACTAACACAATTCCCATAGTCCAACCAAAGGCCATGAGACGGGAAAAACTTTTGACCCAGACTAGCCTGGGGTGTGTGAGAGCCAGTTTCACAAAGGTGAAAGGTTGTATGTCTTATTCTGAGCTGTGCAAGCCAACCAGCAACCTGACTGGTTTCCGTGCTGTCCCATGGTAATCTGGCAGCATTATCCCAAGCCAATGCCACATCTAAACTTCAGACTTTCCTTAACACAGCACTGCAAAAGGATATGGGGGACCATAACACAGCTAGCATCACACACTATCAGATGTGGGCCTTGCATGCCAGTTTAGGTCTGGTGCCAGTTTAGGTCTGTGCAGTGCTTCAGATCGTTGTGATGAAAGAAGCCTCTTGTGGGGTATTCTACCCCTTCAAGGGCCAGCCTAGAGCTGACAGTCAAGACAGCCTGGGAGCAATCAAGGAGCTATCCGTCTTGCCTCTGAGACTGGACTATATAAACCAGAAAAAGAAGCTGAGCAGAGAGAGAGAGAGAGCAGGGAGCAGATGCCTTACTGGCTTGTATGGGTGGCAGACCCCAATCACTGGGCTGACCTGGGCCTTAAAAACTTTGGTTGTTGTACATCAGTTTGGTTGCTGTGACTCAAGGTTTTGTGGGAAGGGGGTTAAGCTGTTCCTCCCTGGATCTGATGCCTAAGGGAAAGGGAGAAAGCCTGCATGCCTCCCAGGAGACGAAGGGGTCTAAAACCTCTGCAAGCTGGGATTGCTTGGAAGCCTTTTTAAAGGGGACATGGGCTTTTCTGTCAGCTTGGTCTTGACCTCCCTCTTCTCAGTTTCTGCGGAACTACTACAATTGTTGAAAGTTCATGTTTACATAGTAGCTTAATGGCTAATCTTGAAATACTGGGGCAAAACAAAGTGCCCAGAAACATAATATACAAGTGCAGGAGCTGAGAAGGGGGAAGTCAAGACCACACCGACACACGTGTACATTATGAAATGCCCTCATGCTGTGTCTGACACTGACCCAAAGCTACTTTGTGTGGGACATGAAAATAATGGGGGTCTCCACTGTCCAGCTACACTGTCCTGAAGAATTTGAAAAGAAGATGGCCAGGACTTTATAAGGAGAGATCATCTGAACAAATCCAATCAGTCCTTCCAGTTTGCCAAAGCTGGACCTCCCATCGCTTGTGTGACCGATACAACAATTACACTCAGAATTTCAGGTTCAAAACGCTTCCCCAGAGAATCCTGCCCAGCTATGGGGAAAGTTCTCCTTGTCCCATTGTCTAATACTCTCATCGCCATCATGTACCACAACATGCTAGTCAGCATTCTCTGGCCACGGCTGCTCTATCAGCCTCGGACGAGGTAACATACCTGGAGACTAGGGATCAGCTTGCAGCAATTTTCCCAAATTGATTTGTGATCCTTGGGGTTGTTCTCTTCATTCCAGTTTCCTAGCTGAAATATCCCTCCCAAGGTTACTAGCTTGCTCCTGGAACATGAGCACAGAGAAAGGGTTTTCAGTGAGGTCTCAGCAGTGCCCAGGTACCATGCCCTAGGAAGCCATCTGTGAGGGAGTGGAGGAAGGAGGGCCTGGCATCCCAGGGGTTAAAGAAAGCCTCTGGACTCAGCTAGCCTCACCTTGCTTTACTCACAGCCAATGCCAGACCTGGAGGTATGAGAAAAGGAAGGAGCCTGGTTCAGTTTGCGGCTGACTAGGGAGGAGGTTTGACCCAAATTCAGAAATCTATAGGACACAAACCAGAGCCTGTCTGCTTAGCAGCCATGGGAGCAAGTCCCGCATCTCTGGGGAAAGGGGGAACCTACTGAGAAGCCCCAATTAAGGGGAATTTGGACAGTTGAGGCCACATCCCAAACTTAAGGACTGGACTAGGCAGGGGCTTGGAGTTTCTGGGCCAGGTGCATGGGCCTGCATCCCCCATTTTTTGCCTGCTTACTCTGACGCCTAGCCAGTAAGCTACACAGCTGCCAGGGACCAAGCCACAGCATCTATATTACTAGCAACTGCCCCCTCAGCTTCTGTACCTTTTGCAAGGGAAACCCGACTGGCCCCACCAGGACCAGACACTCAGGGCTGTTCAACCTACATGTTGGTTAGTCAGATCTAGTTCTCCTCCAGAAGCCCTTCCAGCCAGCTGCTCTGTATCTTTGCCAGTGTGCACTTAGGCTGTGTCTACACTGGGAAGTTTTGGTGACAAAAGTGCTGCCAATGCGCAAAAGTCACCAGAATTGAAAACTGGCCAAACTGTTTTTATCTGCCTCCCATTTTCAACATTTTATGGCCACATTGCTACCTCCCTGTTAGCAGATAGAGCAAAGCAATGTGTCTCGCCAGCCTTCCTCCTGCAGCAGCAGTGAGCCTTCTGCTGTGTTCTTAGCAGGGCAGAACAGGATCATTCCAATGATTTGCTCTTTGTTTGTTCCCCAAATAGAGCAGCTCATTCAGCTGTCAGATACTTCTCAGAGCTTTGAAAGAGGAGGAGTGCCTGCCTACAAGGCAGCAGAGATCACAAAACCCAGAGAGATGACCCATCAGAGCAAGCACTGTGGGATACTGGTGTAAACCAGTACTCTCAACAAAACAAACAATAGAGTCCACACTGGCTCAATAAATGTAGGGGGAAAGACAAAAAGTCTCTTGCAGACATGGAAAATTTTTGTCACCAAAACTGGGTGTTTTTCCTGACAAAAGTTGCACTGTAGTTTTGTCAGAAGAGTTTCCCTGTTTTGTCAACAAAAGTTAGTTTTCTGTAACAAAACATGCCAGAGTAGACAAGGCCTTCATCTCACATACTCTCAGAAATGGTAGCATTATACGTTTGTGATTGTGTAAACTGTGTGTTCTCCCTGGAACGCACACTTGGTGTCCAGAGAGCTTCACAGTTCACGGTTATTCTTTGTTTTGAAACCGGGAGTATGCTGTTTCCCTGGGAAATCTGCCTTGTCCACCAGCTAACATGTCTGAGAGCTGAAATAAACGAACTGCAAAGAATTACATCTGTATCTGGTGATAAGAAATCACTTGTAACACTTGACCTGGGAGCTACAATTGTTCAAAGTTCATATTTACCTAGTGGTTTAATGGCTAATCTTGAAATATTGTTGCAAAAGAAAGTGCCCAGAAACAAATCATTCCAGTTACAGCAAAGAACACTCTCCTTTCCCAAAGCTGGATCAGGTCTCTGTTCTTCAGCAGAAGTGTAAACCATGCAACAAGCTTTTTTTTATTCCCAGGCTCAGTTCTCTGTGGATGGGCGCAGCTTCTGGAGTCATGAAATTAGCTTCCAAATCACATGAAAACTCCACTTTGGGAGCTGTCAGGGCTAATCCCCATTCTGGCACTCTGAGTGCAGAAGGTGAGGTCCCACAAAGACTTTAAATATACCTTGCCGCTACAGGCACTGATTACAAAAACTTTCCCCAGAATCACAAATGCACAGATTTTTTGGAGGGGAGGGGTGCTGCAACTATCAAGTGCTTTTTTATCCCTACCGGAGTGAACACATGAATTCTCCCCCAGCAGTATCCCAAGCTTTTCTGCCACAAGAGTGCTTGAAAAAAGAAAAGAAACAAACAAGCTGCTGTATCTGTAGCTGACCTCTCAGTCTGAGGCATGTAGACACATACTGACAGATCGACCTCCTGTACCTCCCAGGACACAAGAATCAAGTCATCACCTTAAAAAGTTATTTTTATTACAAAACAAAAGATAATCTTGATAAAGGATACTTGTTTGCTAGATGCTACAGAGCAACTAAGGACAACAAATTGAAACAGAGGAAACATCTGGGAACAATGCTTAGCTGGTAAATGGGGAGGAGAAGCATAGATTCACACAGAGCAGTTCAAACCAAACTACCAAATAAAGAAAATACCCTGATCACAACTAGATTCACACTTTCCCTTTACTTACTTCCAATCTTTTCTTGGTTCAGTCCACTTCCATTCCCCAAATTCCTTGGTAGTCCTGTCAGTGCTGCCTGGGTTTAAATCATTCTGAGTCTCTCAACTCCTGGTTTAACTCTCTCCCACACAAAGAAAGCAGGCAGGGAACCTATATCCAATTCAAATTTCAACCCTCTGGCTACATCTATACTGCAGCCTTCTTCTGCAAAAGCTTATGCAAATGAAGCGCAAAGCAGAATATCACCGCACTTCATTTGCATAATTAATTAGCAGCCGTTTTTGTGCAAGAGGCTTTTGCACAAAAATGCTGCTAATTAATTATGCAAATGAAGTGTGGCAATATTCTACTTTAAGCTTCATTTGCATACGTTTTTTCAGAAGAAGGCTGTGGTATAGATGTAGCCTCTATCTCGACTGGTTCTCCTGGCCCCCTGGCCAATACCCTTGCCAGCTACCTGAGTTTAATCCTTTAGTTACCAAGTGCTGGACAATACTCCTCCTGTTCATTACAGGAGCTGTGCAGGAAGTGCACATGTAGGATGTAGGAAACTAAGATTTTAGATGTGCCCTGAGACCATGGACTGACAATCTTTGAATTCACCTCAGCTAAGTGACAACTGCAGGATCAGGTGAAGATTTCAGAACTTCACACTCATGTGGGGATGTTGGCATGCTCAGGGTCTGTCCCAAGGGCTCATTCCTGGTCCTATTAGTCGTTAATGGAAGCCAGTGAGGTAGACTAAGGAAATGGCTGTGATGGATGGAGACAGTTTCTCACAGCAAAAATGTGCACAGTGGACTGTGTGAAGTGGACGACATGCCTCCTATTGCAGCTGAAATGCAAAATTCTAGGGATGTCAATGTACTAACCTGTCACAGGTCCAAATCTGGTCTCACTGAAGTCAATGGGATTGTTAACATTGACAGGAATGGATGTGTAGCTGCTCAAAGGACCCAGAGCTGGATGGAGTGTAGGAAAAAAAGCCAGCTCCACACACATCTGCCAGGGCATCAGTGGAAGCAGGGGGTGCTGAGCACCTTTCAGGATATGGCAGCCGCTGCAGTTTTGCTGCAGTAAAGGTTTGCTGGCCAGTAGGGTTTGCCTGTTCGTGAAGCGCCATGCAAGTGCAACGAATGCTTCTTGGTGTCTCCAGCTCCTACCAGACCAGGAAGCTCCAGAGCCAAACACAACCCTTGCTAGACCAAGGGGAGTTTAACTGTGAACTTGTGCATGCAGCCTTCTAATTCAGTATGGACCCTGAGGTGGGAATTGTCTTGCTTTTTCCACGCGTGGCCATGGGTCTCCTCCCACCCACCTAGTAAAAGGAACATCAGGCAGGGAATAATTCCAAGCTCTGGTTTAATATTTAAAGTGTTCTCCTCAGAGGCTTGCTCTTGAAGGGTTTCTGCATTATAGATGCCAATGGGGACCCCAATGGGAGTCTGCCTTCTGTAAGCACTGTTGGTGGAAGCATTACTGAAACCTGATATATCCCAGGATAGTCTCACTGTTACTTACCCAGGTATAATGTACGGTGAGTTATAGATTCCAGATTTAAGATCATGAGTCAGGACAAAATGCTTCACCCAAGGGGCCAGGACCTAAGAGAGGAAGGGAACAGAGCAATGCAGATCGATAGATAGTGGAACTGAACGTCTATGGGTTTCAACTCTGGAGAGTTGAACTGGCCAAAGAAAGACAACCCCTGACACACAAAGGAAGAAATAACCATTCATCAGTGAATTCCAGGAGTAGGGGCCCTGGCATGCAATTTCTTTTGTTACATTAATATTATATTTATACCACCTCATCAGCATTTCTTATAATGCAGTGTCAAGTCAGAGGGATGGATGGATGGTAGGTAGATAGATGGGGGGAAGGAGAGTACAGGTTGGACCTCCCTGGTCTGGCATCTTCGGGACCTGACTGGCCCCGGATGAGGGATTTTGCTGGACCAGGGAAGATCATTTCTGGTCCCCTCCTCCTCTCCCCTGCTACTGCTGGCTCCACCCCTGCCCTGCTGTTCTCCCCTCCCCCAAGCAGCCCATCTGAGTAGTGTACCAGGTTTCCCACCCCCCTTCTCCTTCCAGCCCAGCTCAGCCATGTGCCAGTTCTCTGCCCCCCATGCACAGGGCTTCCCAGCTCCACCCCCTGCATCATGCCAGGCTCCTGGTCCCTCCCACCCCCTGCAACACAGCGGAACTCTCTGATCCTGGAACATCCATAGTCCAATGCTGGACAAAAGAGTTCCAGTTTATAGAGGTGCAACCTGTTTAAGGGCTTCCCACCTCATATTACAGTGTTTTTTCATAATAATAATAATAACCCTTTGATACTTTGGCCAAGGATTTCACAGCATGGTACAAATCTGAACAACTGGGCCTCATGCCACCATGTAGTGAATGAGAGAAGAGAGGTCTAGGGACCAGCCCTCAGCAGAACCAGGTTTCTTAAGCTTGTGCTTCAGCCAGCAGACCACACACATTCATACAACCCGTGACCTGGGCCTAGTGAATCCAGACATTCTGCAAAAGAAACAGCTGTCTCTTTAAAGTGAGCAGACAGATCACGGTTGCACCCACGGGGGTGTTTGCCCAAAATTCTGCAAAAAGTAGGCCATGTAAGGTGTCAAATGAAAGTGTATGCTCTGCTGATTCTATGTATGGAACTCATGTACTTGTACGATTTTTGTATGTGAAGTTATGAACAGAGCCAGCTTTAGGCCGATTCGCCCGATTACCATGAATTGAGCCCCGCGCCTAAAAGGGCCCCGTGCCATAAAGCCAGAGGGCCCCGCTCCCTAAACCGGGAAGTGTGCCGGGTGTGCTGTGGGAGGGAGCGTCGGTCCTGGAGGAGGAGCGTGGCAGAGAGTTGGCCCATGGGTTTGGCTGGAAGGCGGGGCTCTGCCCTGTAGCTGGGAATTTAAAGGGGCGGTGAGTTGTTTGTTTGTGTGCTGGGTTGTGGTTTTTGTTTTTGTTTTTGCTCAACCAAAATTTGGTTTGAATTGGGCCCCCGCACTTCCTAAAGCCGGCCCTGGTTATGAATATGGGCTTTATTGTATTTTAAATGTTCTCTGTCTAGAAGGGAGCAATGGGCCTAGACCGCCTATTGTGAGGAAGGATTGTTCAGTGAAAGGCTGTGCTAACTAGCACTGCTTCATGGACAATGGCTCTCAAAGTGGCCAATACACATCTGAGGAATGCGTCTGGAAACCTGCAAACTAGCCAGTGCCTCATGGCTACTTGCATGTGAAACAGAGACTGGTCACTTTATCATGTGACCAGGTCTAGTTTGGGAGACACCAGGAATATAAAAATCCCATGATGCTGTCTCTATCTTGTCTTCAATCCTGCTTCTGATTCCAGATGCATCCTTGCTAGGTACAGAGAGCCGGGAAGGATTGCTGACCCATCCTGACACAGGATGTACACCAGAGACTTTTAAGCTGGCAGTTTGTAACATCTCTGCCAAGAACCTGCATCGAGCACTTGGTGGATGCAATGTATTCTCTTTAACAGTCTCACTCTCAACCTTTTACTTCTTTTATTAATCAACCTTTAGATGTTAGATTTTAAAGGATTGGCCCAGCGTGCTGTCGTGGGTAAGATCTAAAGTATAAATTGGCCTGGGACTGTAGCTGGTCCTTTGGGATGGAGAGGATCTGTTTGGAGTTGGTGAGATTGGGTTTTATAACCTTTCACCTGTGTAAGGTCTGGGTCTGATTGTGGCACAGGGAAAGCTGGGATGTCTGAGGGGTTTTGCTTGTGAGGCTTCCTGCTGGCCAGATTGGCAGCAGAAATGCTCTGTGTGACTGGTTTGTGGCCTATATGGGAAAAGTCTCCAGTTGAGGGCTGTAAGTAGCCCTGGTTTTGAGCAATTCATTCCCTCAGTGGTGCCCAGACCTGGCCTGGTCTATTACACGCCCCCGCCACCCTAACATCATCCTCACCTTTATAATTTGTCCTCGGCCTGGCATTAAGCCCGGGTCTGGCTGCAGGTCCCCTGCTCGGACCCCTGTACAGTTTATGATAACGTCCGCGCCCATCTAACAAGGGAGAGAGGCACATTCGTGAGCACAAATGCACACGGAATCAGGATCTGCTGTCCCCCCTCCTCTGACGGGCCCAGCCAGATGGCTCTGCTAACTGCCTGAATTCCTGTGTGCAAGTAAAGGGTTTAACTAAGGCCCAGTTCACCCAGCTCATTTATATTCTCCTGAGTGCTGGGCCTGCCCCTTCTTGCAATGGAGAATGCACAGTCTCATCAAAGGGTGCAGGGTTTGCCTGAAACAGCCTTCTACCCAGGAATAACGAAGGCAGCTTCTCTTCCCTGACTGCTGCATTCTAGTGAAAGCTAGTAGTTCCCCACAACATGTCCGAGCAGCTGGCAGATTACACACCAGGCAGGGCTGGCCCAATGGTTTTTGGTGCCCTAGACAAACAATGACTTTGTTGGCCCCCAGGTCAAGCATTTGTGGGGAAGCAGCTGAGCACTGGTGTGGCTGCTCAGGAGAGATTCTGATGCCACCCAGCTGATTCACAGAGTGCCCACAGCGAGGTTTGTGTTTCTACTGGAGGTGCACATCTGCACAGGCCTCAGGGCGCGTGAAATTTATTCCACATGTGGATGGAAAAGATAAGCAGGAACATCAGAGTTTGCACTAAAGCCCCTGCATGGCTGGCTCTGCTTGGCAGGGAGAAGAAGAGGCTCGTGTGCTGATGCTGTTCCCCCTTGGCAGTGCAGAGCAGTATTCACCGGCAGACGTTTCCCCTGCCGCTTTCATTGGCTGGGTGTGCTCCTTAAGGCCTGGTGCCCTGCCCAACCACCTAATTCACCTCTGTAGCTGGGCTGGCCCTGATACCAGGTAGAACTGTTGCTTCCCCAACAGCAGAGGCGGGGGGACCATGGCTGCTGTTAATAATGCATTTGTGCTGGGAACGGAGGGGTCTCCCCTACCCAAGGCAAATGCTCTTCCTCTCCCCTTCCCAGACTCAGGAGTCTCTGGCTTGTCTCTGTAAATGTCCAGCCAGCCCATCCCTGGCAAATTTTCTCCAATTACATTCCCAGCTAACCTCCTGGAAGGATTCAATCTTCTTATGAAAAAACTTGACTCCTCTCTTCTTTAACCTTTTAAGAACAAAGTTCATGTGTTAATGGCACCTAACAGCAGTTGGAAAAATACACCCAGAGTCTTTCTCAATGGCTCTTCAACAGGCTTCAGTCATTACCTCATTCCTTTAATGCATTGGGGACACCACTAATTGACAATCCTACTAAAGCAGATAGCATACACTGGACATTCAAATGACTCATTTTAAAACAATAAAAACCCTTTTCAGTACAGAAAAGCTACAGGGGCTGCAGTGATGCCCCATTTCCAGTCATCTTCCTCCATTTTATTTATTTTCATATACAAAATACAACATTAAAGAAAGCTCCATTAAAAGAACACTAGGAAAGGGGCAAAGTCAAGCACTTCAAAGTGAGAAAATGCAAGAATTGAGGTTGCATGCAGAATCAGAACTCAGCCCTTTCTGCAGCTGCATTGTGATATAGTCTTTAATTATATAGTCAAGTGGTATTTTTTCTTAATTTTTTAAAGGAACAAACTGATAAAAGAAAAAGAAAATGATCAACTGGATCCCATTGATACCTGATTTGTATGGATTTTTTACACAGAGGCAAAAAAACCAACAACCCTATTTTTCCCTAATTTTATCCTTGGAAATGGCTGAATTGTTTTTGCTAAAGTTTTCCCAAAATAGTCAGCCTGAGGCAAACATCCAGCATGGAAAATTTCAGCCCAAACAGGTAAAGCCTGGCAAAGTTACAAGCAACTGAAAACAAGTTCTTAAAATGAAACGTGTCAGCCAACATTAAACATAGGCTGTTCTACCACCTAAAAGGCACCCAGCAACTTCGTGTTTAAAAAAGAATCTTGAATAATATTTGCTGGTTTTCCCCCTTTTGACTGAATTAAATTGGAATTGCCACAATTATTTAAAAGTAGGCTCATGGGTGAACTGAGCAAAGAAAGCTGCTTTTTATTCACCTTTAACTCTGCAGATTACTGCACAAGTCTAACAATGGGGGGGCACAACCCAACCATGGCAGAACAGAAGATAAATAATAGGCTGAAGCAAAATGCAGGACAATGTAGCACTTTAAAGACTAACAAGATGGTTTATTAGATGATGAGCTTTCGTGGGCGGAAGTGGGTCTGGCCCACGAAAGCTCATCATCTAATAAACCATCTTGTTAGTCTTTAAAGTGCTACATTGTCCTGCATTTTGCTTCCGCTACCCCACACTAACACGGCTACATTTCTATCACAAATAATAGGCTGGCACTCACCTCTGGGTAAGCCAAGGCAAATAGCTCTTCCCTTCTAAAATTAGTGCGGTGTTAAACCAACCATAGCTGAAATCAGAGAAGGAGAAAAATGGATGTGCAGTATCATATGATCTAGTCTTACTGTTGCAAAATTGCTTTCCAAGGTTCCATCTATTCTTTGTACACAATCTCTGAAATATTTTTAGCCAAGGAAGAAGCTGAAAAACTCATGTGTCCCTCTGTTCTGTCTTATCTGAGCGGATTCCAACTTATTTATGGAGAAGAGTGTCCAGTGACAGCTCTATGAGAAGACAATAACACTTAGCCCTTACCTAGCCACATCCACTGAACTTGTTACATTAGCCCTCGTGGCATCCCCGGGAGACAGGCATACAGTTGCCCTTAGAGGGGCATATGATACATGGAAAGATTAAGTCACATAGTGGGACAGTAGCAAAGGCTGCAATGAAAACAAGAAGTTCTGGGTCTTTGTCCCCTGCTTGTTGCTCTAGATCAGGTTACAGCAACATCCGGCATGCATGCCATAAGTGGCATGCAAGATGACTTTCCATGGCACGTGCAATGAATGGGCTTCCCTTTGTTCTGCCTCCCCTGCAATGGGGAGCCAGCACCAGCTTCCTGCGGGCAGGGGAAGGGGGAGCCTGTTCATTGTGCGAGCCTGCAGACGTAAGACTGAGCGCGGGGTGGGAGGAAGAGTCTAGGCACATTCGTGTACTGCTGCAGTGTACGTAACAAGGCATGATGTGTGCGTCGTCTCTGTTTGCAGAAGCAGAAATGACATACGTCAGCTGAGCCACCTCTCTTAGCAGTATGGCCCCGCCCCTTTCTCTACCTGGGGCGGTGACTTCATGGCACGTTCCTGCTCCATCACAGCTCTGGGGATGGGAGCCAATCACAGCCAGTGGGAGGCAGGAGAGAAGGAGGTGTGTGCCCTAGATTATGCTGCTTCTCACTGTCTTTACATCTCGTACCCTACACCTATTGTAGGGTGAGATGCATGGGATCCCTAGAGGTGCAGGTATATTTACCCATGAGTGTTACCAGTTTCTGTAAGCTAATATGCATTGTATAGTACCTGTAACCAGGGAAGAGTTCAAGCTCCTTCAGTGTCAGATTCCTAAATCCCAGGACAATGTCCTTCCAAGGTGGTTCCTACAGAGGAGAAAATGTTCCAGGTTTGTTAATGTTATTTAATCACTATAACGCATTCACTGGGTCCATATAGATAAGCATAGGAGGGATGACACGGGACTCCAGGAGGAGTCTCTTGCCTACACTGACTCTGTGATGTACCCCATGCTTATGAGAATTGGCTTATGAATATGAATATGCATAGTTCGAAGGTGCTTTAGACAGAATACCTCATGTAACCTATCAATTCTAAAAACAGGACTATGTAGCACTTTAAAGACTGTTTTTTGTTTCAGCTACACCAGACTAACATGGCTACATTTCTATCACTATCAATTCTAATGTCACTGTCTGCTGGGTCTGTATATCCTATTTTGGAGCATATCTCATTCTTGCTTGTGAAGTTAGAAATAGGAAGTGTGGCTCTATTTATAGTTCTAAATGTGTTAATGAGACCCATTATTGGTGCCCTGGAAACTTAATGACTCAGTGATCCACTCAAGGACCTGTAAACAGCCTTGTTTGTCCTGTGAGCCCAAACGGTGATTGGTCCTATGAAGACAGGTGATCATGCCAAACAGGTACTAAAATCCATCTTGGACCCAGTAGTTTTTCATGGGGATGGGAGATACAAAGCAAAGTCCAAGGAAACGTCTATTTAAGCAATGGGAAGCCATCAGTCCTTTCCCTTCAGCTGGCTATTGAAGTTGCCTGGCCCATCCTAAGAGGATACTTACACAGAGAAACACAGATTTATTTGGGGGTTGGGTTCCTGGATGCTGAGCCCTCAGAACTGTGTCCTCCCAGAATTGAAGTGGTTCAGTGGATCTGGCCCAGCCTGGCAGGGTGGTGGGGAGCCCCAGAGAGCGAGAAGACGGGCATCAGTGGCATGATCAGCACACTGGGGAATAATCCCAGGGGGACTTTTGTGATTGCAGCCCACCATAGGAATGGAGGGCCAGACTCTCTGCTGGTGGAAATCATCACTGCTCCACTAAAGTCAACAGAGCTACCTATAGTTTTCAGACACACAATTTTTTTTCTGCCATTGCAACACATTTGTATAAACAACTTAATTGTAGCCAGGTGGGTAATGAAATTTCGGGGTGTAAAAAGTATAAAAATAATAAAGCGCTGTAAAACTTAAAACAAAAATTCAGTTTTCTCCCAATTTCAGTGGTGTTGACGTATCCCCCCAGACTTCTCTCAAGTTCTCCTAAGGGAGTGGTCCGCAAGGCTGTGCCCGTGGGTGCCATGGCGCCCACCAGGGCACTTATGTGCGCCCGTGGAATGATCTGGGCCGTCCCCACCCGCAGGCGCGTGGCACATGCGCAGTGTTGGCCCCGGGTGCGCGGCGCATAAGCGGCCCCTGCCCTAGGCACACGGCACATGGATGGTGCTGGCGCTGGGCGCGTGGCACATGGGTGGCCCCTGCCACGGGTGCACGCAGCGCGTGAGCGGCCCCACCCCCAAGCGCCCGGCAGCCCCGAAAGGTTGGGGACCACTGTCCTAAGGGTACTCGTTCCACTGGTTGAGAAACACTGCACCAGAGGATGGCTAGCCGTGCGTTTATGTTTCCATATTCTGGAGACCCCACAAATGCACAAGTTTGCTCAGTCAGACTTGGGCCATTGAACCTTGGTCCTTTTCACCCATATCAGCCTACCGGAACTGGCTGTGTAAAGAGATTGTAGCCAGAAATTAGGAAGAGCCCCATTTCCTCTGCTTCTGGTGAGTTCAGGTGTCCGCAAAGGTAATCAAATGTCTCTCTGTTCCAGACCCTAAAAGATAATGTCACACGGATTTCAGAAGGCATCCTAATAGCAGACTAAGAGCATCCCAACTTTAGTGCCTGTACCGGCACACCCTTCCTATGAACATCATGCCTCACTCCTGTGAGTAGTTCCTTCATCTGATGGGCATCTACCCATCTGAGTAAGGGTTTGCAGAGCTAGACCATGCTATGCATCATCGCAGTGTTAGTACGGATTTACAGCTCCAGAGCTGTAATTGAATGGAAGCAGAGGGAAGAGATGAACTCCTTGGGGATTGTAAATGGGTGGAGAGGCAGGTGGTGGGAGGCTGGTGAGTGGGGGAAGGGCAGAGAAGAGGCTCATGCTAGTCAAAGCCAGGGAGAGGGGCAGGAGGCAGGCAAGGTTCCTAGAAGTGATGGAGGCAAGTCCACCAATGGCTTTATTTAGAAAACTGGCAAACTGACCACAGCTCCTGGTGGAGTTCAGATGCCAATAAGTCAGACTGGAGAGGGGGGATGTCTCCTGTATAAGGGGGTGCTGGAGTCTGGAACTGGGGCTAGGGATAGCTACTGGGATTCCAGCCAAAGGAAGTTCTGCTCCATTGATGCCCTGACCTCAGTTGAGTACCGTAATTAACTGTAGTGGGATTGTCTGTCTGTCTGTCTGTCTGTCTTTCTGCAATATGGCCCCTTCAGAGTGTGATCTCTGGAACACTCACATTCATGAAGCAGAGTGCTGGCAGGAGAGGTGGAGACCAGTTTCAACACTTAACATTCCCACCCCTCCCAAGCTGGCAGAAGGCAGAAGAACTGGGTTTCCTTCCAACCAGGGATCAGTAGAGTAACAAGTGTGACCCGCCTACGATGGAACCCGCTTCATAGCAGGCAGTGCTGCAGCCCCACTGCCCCTCCCCTGCAGCCATTGCTCCTGGCCTATGCTAATACCTGCTGCTTTCTTGCCTGCCGGGTGCGGACCGCGTAATATTACAACAGCACGAAAGGCCAAGCCACACATCTCCTGGATGCTGAGCCCTCAGAACTGTGTCCTCCCAGAATTGAAGTGGTTCAGTGGATCTGGCCCAGCCTGGCAGGGTGGTGGGGAGCCCCAGAGAGCGAGAAGACGGGCATCAGTGGCATGATCAGCACACTGGGGAATAATCCCAGGGGGACTTTTGTGATTGCAGCCCACCATAGGAATGGAGGGCCAGACTCTCTGCTGGTGGAAATCATCACTGCTCCACTAAAGTCAACAGAGCTACCTATAGTTTTCAGACACACAATTTTTTTTCTGCCATTGCAACACATTTGTATAAACAACTTAATTGTAGCCAGGTGGGTAATGAAATTTCGGGGTGTAAAAAGTATAAAAATAATAAAGCGCTGTAAAACTTAAAACAAAAATTCAGTTTTCTCCCAATTTCAGTGGTGTTGACGTATCCCCCCAGACTTCTCTCAAGTTCTCCTAAGGGAGTGGTCCGCAAGGCTGTGCCCGTGGGTGCCATGGCGCCCACCAGGGCACTTATGTGCGCCCGTGGAATGATCTGGGCCGTCCCCACCCGCAGGCGCGTGGCACATGCGCAGTGTTGGCCCCGGGTGCGCGGCGCATAAGCGGCCCCTGCCCTAGGCACACGGCACATGGATGGTGCTGGCGCTGGGCGCGTGGCACATGGGTGGCCCCTGCCACGGGTGCACGCAGCGCGTGAGCGGCCCCACCCCCAAGCGCCCGGCAGCCCCGAAAGGTTGGGGACCACTGTCCTAAGGGTACTCGTTCCACTGGTTGAGAAACACTGCACCAGAGGATGGCTAGCCGTGCGTTTATGTTTCCATATTCTGGAGACCCCACAAATGCACAAGTTTGCTCAGTCAGACTTGGGCCATTGAACCTTGGTCCTTTTCACCCATATCAGCCTACCGGAACTGGCTGTGTAAAGAGATTGTAGCCAGAAATTAGGAAGAGCCCCATTTCCTCTGCTTCTGGTGAGTTCAGGTGTCCGCAAAGGTAATCAAATGTCTCTCTGTTCCAGACCCTAAAAGATAATGTCACACGGATTTCAGAAGGCATCCTAATAGCAGACTAAGAGCATCCCAACTTTAGTGCCTGTACCGGCACACCCTTCCTATGAACATCATGCCTCACTCCTGTGAGTAGTTCCTTCATCTGATGGGCATCTACCCATCTGAGTAAGGGTTTGCAGAGCTAGACCATGCTATGCATCATCGCAGTGTTAGTACGGATTTACAGCTCCAGAGCTGTAATTGAATGGAAGCAGAGGGAAGAGATGAACTCCTTGGGGATTGTAAATGGGTGGAGAGGCAGGTGGTGGGAGCTGCAGAGCGGAAAGCTCTGACCCTACGGCTGGTGAGTCGGTGAAGGGCAGAGAAGAGGCTCATGCTAGTCAAAGCCAGGGAGAGGGGCAGGAGGCAGGCAAGGTTCCTAGAAGTGATGGAGGCAAGTCCACCAATGGCTTTATTTAGAAAACTGGCAAACTGACCACAGCTCCTGGTGGAGTTCAGATGCCAATAAGTCAGACTGGAGAGGGGGGATGTCTCCTGTATAAGGGGGTGCTGGAGTCTGGAACTGGGGCTAGGGATAGCTACTGGGATTCCAGCCAAAGGAAGTTCTGCTCCATTGATGCCCTGACCTCAGTTGAGTACCGTAATTAACTGTAGTGGGATTGTCTGTCTGTCTGTCTGTCTGTCTTTCTGCAATATGGCCCCTTCAGAGTGTGATCTCTGGAACACTCACATTCATGAAGCAGAGTGCTGGCAGGAGAGGTGGAGACCAGTTTCAACACTTAACATTCCCACCCCTCCCAAGCTGGCAGAAGGCAGAAGAACTGGGTTTCCTTCCAACCAGGGATCAGTAGAGTAACAAGTGTGACCCGTGAATACACAGCCAGGCTTTAATCAGGACGCTTCAATGGCCATCAAGCTGAATAGCAGGGAGATGAAATGAATGACTCTCCATGCAGACTGGGCACAGCGGTCCTGAATACACAGCCAGGCTTTAATCAGGACGCTTCAATGGCCATCAAGCTGAATAGCAGGGAGATGAAATGAATGACTCTCCATGCAGACTGGGCACAGCGGATTAGGAGAACGGGAAGCAACCCAGATCATACTCGCCTTTCAAAGCTTTCCAGCCTTCATGGAGGCTGGTTTGCAGATGACGAGAGGAGTTGATTCAGGGTATAATCAGTATTTAATTACCCCCCACTGGGAACCTGAATACATTGGTCAGTATCACCCGGGGGCTGGTGCAATTTGGTATAGTGAGGGGGCTGAGAGCCACTGAACCAAGCTGTAAACCCTGCCTACGATGGAACCCGCTTCATAGCAGGCAGTGCTGCAGCCCCACTGCCCCTCCCCTGCAGCCATGGCTGCTGGCTTGCCTGCCGGGTGCGGACCGAGTAATATTACAACAGCACGAGAGCCAAAGCCACCTATCTCACCTCTCTTGTGTGTTTTCCTTATCATCCAGGTAGGGCTGCCACAGCCCTGCCGCTCCATCGCTGGTGGTGAGCGGTGTGTACCGGTCAGCATAGACCTCTATCTCCAGAGGCTGGATGACTGAGTGATACTGATCACAGATGCACAAGGCTGTTGAGAGCCCGATCACTCCTGCCCCGATCACAGCAACACGCATGGCAGCGTTGGGTCTCTCCTGCAGGGCAAGATAAATTAATCCAAACCTCAAGACCGTGGCCAGGAAGGAAAGGAAGCCAAAGGAGATGCTTGAATGGGCCTGGTGCATCCCAGAGGTGCTGAGTGGGCCAGCTATCCTGAGAATCCTCCAATGACAACAGGAGGCCCGATCACTCCTGCCCCGATCACAGCAACACGCATGGCAGCGTTGGGTCTCTCCTGCAGGGCAAGATAAATTAATCCAAACCTCAAGACCGTGGCCAGGAAGGAAAGGAAGCCAAAGGAGATGCTTGAATGGGCCTGGTGCATCCCAGAGGTGCTGAGTGGGCCAGCTATCCTGAGAATCCTCCAATGACAACAGGAGTGAGCCAGTCTGCAGTGTCAGCAAGCCTAGCAGCAAAGGGGTTAAGCCCCATTTCTCCTATGGTAAAAACAGCTGGTGACTCACCTGTCTGGCCCAAGTGAGGATCAACACACCCCAGGCCTGGGAAAGGAGCCTTGCAGTGCTGGATTTATGAACAAACTAAGTAAGATACAGGTGAGAGCCTCAGGTTATGAAGGGCTTCTAAATACAAAAAGTTGCTAGTTTTTATCTGTGCCTATGTGCTGGTATAGATGCAAATATTAAACCTTATTATTTCTACTTTCATTGTGCTTTCTCTTAAAATAATATATGTTTGGCAGATACTTCTTTTGCTGTTATATATATTTTTCTTTGTTTCTGTAATTTCCATTTCCATTCATCCGAGGAAGTGGGTTTTACACATGAAAGCTCACAATTCTATATATTTTGATAAGTCTCTGAAGTGCCACAGGACCACTCATTTTTTAAAGTTACAGATTAACATGGCTCCCCTTTGAGAAACATTTTTGGCAATGCTATGGGGCCTCTTTATCTTGACATATCTTGGAACCTCCGCAAGTCTTAACCAGCCCTGCTTGTAGAAGCTTTCCTCACTATTCACCTGCAGGCCTTGTGTAGACTAAATCACATCCTCAGTTATCCCCACCCCTGGCTCAGTTGGCAACCTGGGCTGAGGAGCTCTTGCACATTATTCCTGGACATATGCCCAACTATACTAGGCCATGCAACTCTGAAGCAGAGCAGGTATTTAGCAAACTCCTCCTCATTTCAATACCCAGGATGCTCTTCCAGCTCCTCTAGTACTGTTGGCTTGAACCTCTGGCTGTAGGCAGAAAGTTGGGCCTGTGAGTTGCATTCACCACCTCTCACTTCCTTTGCAAACCCAGCCAATCCTCCAACCACTGGAGCTCGCTTCTAACAAGAGAGTTCTTTGTGCTCTGGAATGACCCAACTCAGCTCCTGCGCCTGCATTCTGTAAAGCATGCTCCCACTTGCCATAGCTTTTGTTGCTGAGTCCTTGTCCTAACCCAGCAGATTCCTTTGTAGAAAGACAGTTTAAAAAAAAACCCTAGAAACGTTGGACATTTTCCCAGCAAAGCTGATGCCAGAAACAACAAAGGGAAGAAAGGTTTCATTGTGCTTGCTTTGCAGACTTCCCCTCTCAGCTTTGTTGATGTACCTGCAGGCGTGCCTGCACATCCCAGTCCAGGGGAAGCCCCCACTGCTGCTCAGGTATTCCAGCCTCAGTAAGTCAGGCTCCTAAAATTTGTGTCTCTTCCTGTATATAAACCTTAAGCCTCACCCTTCCCTTAAAATGCTGACAGGTCAGGGATGAAAGGGTTAAAGTGCACTGTCTGTCCACTCACTATTGACTGGCACAATGTTCCTCTGCTTCTCGTGGCCAGGATACAGCTGCAGCTCTTCCCACAGACTTTCTAGAGGAGCTGTTACTGCTCATTGCACTTTGGCCAACAAACCTCTCTCTTCGGGGTCCTGGCTGGCTAGCTCCATGAGCAGCTGCTGCTCCCCAACCTGGCCCTAGTGAGTACTCCAGCACAGACATGTGGGCAGACCAGTGTGTGTGTGTGCGCACCTGTGGATCTTTGTCTGCATACATTTCTGCGAGCGCCTCATCACACTTTTGAAGATCAGCCTCATCTTTTCAAAAAATGTGAATTTACTTGGTGACTAACCTGCATTCCTAGAGCCCCCTTCACACGCCTTGAACATTAAACCCTGGTGTAGAATCCCACTCCTTCCCACCTGCTTTCATTACTGTGACTGATGGTCTGATCCGATAGCAGAAATTATCATAATCAGCGGCCTATTGGTCCCTTACAGCCCCGGCCCCAGGTTGAGGACAGACTGCCCCGACGACACAAATTGAACAGATGGCTTTCTCACCAGTTCTCCAGCTGGTCAATAAATCACAGAGATGGACAAATCCCCCAGACTAACCTGCAGAGTGATAGGTCCCCAAGAAGGTTCCTAGATCGGCAGGGAGAGCTGCACAGAGCCTTCTGCACACACGCTGTTTATTGCGAAGCATGAACCGTACAGTCTGAAGGTCAGTCAGTGGAGTGGGGCGGGGGCAGAAACAGCAGCATCAGCAACTCTCTCCTAATAGCTGGGCAGTAGGTCAAAGTCTGCCAGCTAAGGTGACACTGGTGGGGAGATAACGTTTCACAGTCCTGGTGGACTCACTCTGTCCAGATACTATAACTGGGATCTCCTCCATGACTGGCCATTGCATTGTTTTTTTTCTGAAAAGGGAAAGGAAATGGAGTGACAAAGCCTTCTGGGACTCCTGAAGGGGTGGTTACTGGTCACCACTGAAACTTTTCATTCCTCTGGCTGCAGAGAGAGGGAATGGGAGGTAGTTGGCAGTGCAGGGGGATGGGAGTCAGGGCTTTTGCATTCTCTTCCTGGCTTGGCCACAGGCTTCCTTCAGGACCCAGGGTGTGTCACTTAACCCACCGTGCCTCAGTTTCCCCTTTTGTAAATGGCAATAACTCTTCCCCTGCTGCACATGGGGGTTGTGTTTACCAAGCATTCTGGAATCCCAGCTGGAAGGTGCCTCATAGCCATGTCCCAAGTGTTAGTAGCTGCAGGGGCTCTCATACCATTGGGGTCTTTGTGCTTGGCTGGCCCATGGCCATAAGCTGGCACATACAGTAAGCCAGAAGATAGTGTACTGCAGCCAAGGGTTGCTTTCCTGTTGAAGTAGGGAGGACAGGTCAAAGAAGTGGTAAGGAACTTAGGAGGGACAGAAGCCCAAATACTGGGAGTGGACACTTCCCTGACGGCTGAGCTTGTTCCTGAGAATGCCATGTGGGCCAGGCCATGCTACATAGGGCCGCCATGCACAGCTAATGGCTTTCCCGAGATGACCTAAAAAATCCTGGACTTGCCAGCTGGAGTAGAGCAGTAAATGGTGCATGCCGGATCCAAAGGCCACAGAAACAGCCACCCAATGGGGAATAGTTCACTCCTTTTTTCCAAACGCAGGGAATGTTTTGCTGCTCTGTCTCCATCCTTTCTACTTGTAGCTGTGCCGTGCCAATGCTGCTGGGAGGGCTGGGAAACAGCCAGGATCAGGTGTGGAGGGAGGAGAGCAGAATGAGTGACTTGTTCTCCTCAGGGGAACTGCTGCAAGTATTTACTTAGCCAGGGACCTCACTCTGCCAAGCAGACTCCTCTTCCTAACATGTCAGCTTCCTGTGAAACAGCTAGGACCCCACAGCTTCTAGGAAACTGGTTCTCAAACCAGTGTGGGCTGCATATGCAGCTCTCTCTGGCCAAGTCTATACTAGACCCAGAAGGTCAGCTTAAGGCAGTGGTCTCCAACCTTTTTACACCCAAGATCACTTTTTAAATCTCAGAACAGGCGAAGATCTACCGCCCCGCCCCTTCCTTGAAGCCCCGCCCTCTCTATTCTCCTCCTGTCCATCACTTGCTATCCGCAGCCCTTACTTATTCACTCTGATAAACAGTTTAATTTTAAATTATGCGATATATTAAATTAAAATCATGTGTTTATAGTTATGAAATAAATGGTCTGTTTTTTATTCATGCTATTTAAATCTAAAATGAAGCATTTATAATTATACATTTTGTGGGGACAGAGTTCTGCGGCGGGGGGCAGGGAAGAGGGAACAAGGTGCTGGGAGGGCAGAGGACAGGGTTCTGCATCGGGGACAGAGTGCCAGTGGGGACAGGTTTCTGCAGCTGGGGGACAGGGTGCCAGTGGGGACAGGAATAGGGACAGAGTTCTGTAGCGGGGAACAGGGAAGTGGGGACAGAGTTCTGTGGCTGGGGACAGGGGAGTGCAGACAGCATTCGGGGACTGGGGACAGGAGTGGGGACAGCGTTTGGGGAGTAGGGACAGCGTTCTGTAGCTGGGGACAGGGGAGTGGGGACAGAGTTCTGTGGCTGGGGAGTGGGGTCCAGTGGAGGCAGAGAGTCCCCTGCATCTGCTTCCTTCCAGGATTCCCCCCCCCCCCCCCCGGGGACACCACCGCGCACCTCCCCCTGCCACATGCGCCTTTCCCGGGGACAGCTCACGCCTCCTGTGCCGGTGCAGGGAAGTCACCATGCTCCTCTTCCGGAGCCAGGGCCCCCTCCCACAGCGCGCCTGGCAAAGCAGCCAGTGCACTTCCAGAATTCCCAGAAGTGACGCTAAGCTGCGGGAGTTCTGTCCACCCACGGGAAGCCGGCACTATCTCCATTTTTGCTGGAGATAAGTACTGGGGCTTCTCAGGTGTAGGTGGAAAAGGAGGGAGGGGGAGGCGGAGGGCCCGGACATCTCGCGATCAACTGGTCAAGGCCTTGCGATCGACTAGTCGATCGCGATCGACCTGTTGGTGACCACTGGCTTAAGGTATGTAACTCCAGCTAAGTAATTACCATAACTGGAATCAACATATCTTTAAGCCGAGCTTGGGTCCATCTTCACAGCAGGAAATCAACAGGAGCATTTCCTTTACTCCTCACAAACTGAGGGATACTTGCGCTGATCGGGTGAGCCCTCAGCATTCTATTTAGCAGGTCTTTAACCTCTGAAGATAGGACAAGAAGCAATGGGCTTAAATTGCAGCCAGGGTGGTTTAGGTTGGACATTAGGAAAAACTTCCTGTCAGGGTGGTGAAACACTGGAATAAATTGCCTAGGGAGGTTGTGGAAACTTCATCACTGGAGATATTTAAAAGCAGGTTGGATAGACTCTATAGATGGTGCGTGGACCTGCCATGAGGGCAGAGGACTGAAATAATGACCACTAGAGGTCCCTGCAAGCAGGATCAGAACGAATGCATTCCTTTCAGGTAGCTGGAATGGGAAAATAACCCTGGTTGTGTCTATGCAAATACAGTTTGCTTCTGATTTGCTTAGATGTGTTAGATATCCAGCAGATGGAGTGGTATTTTGCTCATTGTAATCTACTTAATTTGTGACCCAGCACCAGCCATGTTGTATCAAATGCAGGGATAACTAGAATATGGTTACCAATGTTTGTAATTTTGTGGGAATACAGAAAAGTAGGAAGGGGATAAATTATTCCAAATGAAAGGGCTCACTGTCATCAGAAAGAATCTTGCTAATGCAGGGGCTCAGAGCTATAGGAAGCTAAGGGATGAGCAAAGGAAGATATACATAAATCATGGTATGCCCTGTCCGGACTAGTTTGACCTGGCCCCTTCCTCCCAAAAAGAGCTAAATAGGTGTCATTAGATGCCTCTCTTCTTATGTTAACTGTGTTGGAGTTGTGCTACCAGTTGAAATTATTTGTGATGCACAACAGAGTGAACAGGATGCAAGAGAAAGGTTGGGCATGTGAAGGGGACATTTACATTGCTGGACATGAGAACCTGAGAGGAAAAGGACATTGCCCAACCTAATTGGGCTTGGATCTTTACTCAGGGTTTATGTTTATTAAAACTGTTTGGGGTGTTTTTTCAAATGTACACCAAGTTACTTCACGCCCTTTTATTAACAGTTTCTTTTGTACACTCAGACTCTGTGCGTGCGAGTGGGGAAGCATGGCCTCTCAGAGGTGCCCAGAGGTGGTGTGTGAATTCCCCAGGTTACTAGGTGGGGGCTCAAGCCAGTTCTGTGTAGGATGGATGAAGAGGAATCTCTCTAGACAGTGAACCCAGCCCTGGCTGCTGCTGGCTCCACATGGCAGAAGAGTTGCGCAAGTGGCCTGCAGCCTGAAAACTACTATTCTAGAACCTGTTTATTCAAACCCACCCTGTCAAATCTCTGAACACTACAGATACAGTGAAATGTGCCCCACACAAACACACAAAGCAACCATATCAGACAACCATCTAGTATGAGTGAGACCTTACCAAATGGCCAAAGAAAATAGTCCTGGAAACTTTGGGGAGATTTCCAAGTGGCTTCTAACAACAGGAGGTTGCCTTTAGAAAAGGGATCAGTCCATAGGGCTAACAGGTGACGTACATTTATGGCATTTGCATTTTTATGTTGGTTTATCCTACCTAACAGGTCATCTGAACAGCCACCAGTATTAATGTGAGCTGGAGTGGCATGTTGCCTCCAAACATTGGGCAAGTGGCACAAGCATATTGTGTTTACAGAAGGCCATCCTACATGCTAATCCCTAGAGACCTGGCCTGAACTCTGGCTTACTGCAGATGGAACAGTCTTTCCTGAGAGTGGCTGCACTGCTGTCTTTTCCAGTTTGCATTTCATATTTTAAGAAGGGACAATCTGTCACAGTGAGACTCATTCCCTAATGCAGTGATGCTCAAAAAGGCTCCCATGTCTCTTTCGAGCAACAGAGGACAAAGGATCATAGCTTGCCAAGCAGATTCGAAGTGGTGCGGAGAAGTACCTCTTTGACTTGTACAGCATGTTTCATCTAAAGATCTCTGCGCTTTAAAAATGTAAGTTAATTAGTCTCCCATCACCTGTGTGACATCAGTTACCATTATTAGCGACCTCAATTTATAAATAGAGAAAACAAGGCACAGAAATTCACACCTAAGATCAGACAGCAAATCTGTAGTAGATTGGGGAACAGAACACAGGAGCTCTGATGCCCAGGCCTCTACTCAGAGGCTATGTCTAGACTACACAGTTCTTCCAGAAAAAGATACACAAATTGCAAAGCAGTTTGCATAGCTTTTTCTGCTTCTTTTTTTGGAAGAGGCTTTCCCGACATTTGGCCCATCTACACTGGGCCAAATGTCAGGAAAAAACCCTTTTTCAATTGGGGAACAGAACACAGGAGCTCTGATGCCCAGGCCTCTACTCAGAGGCTATGTCTAGACTACACAGTTCTTCCAGAAAAAGATACACAAATTGCAAAGCAGTTTGCATAGCTTTTTCTGCTTCTTTTTTTGGAAGAGGCTTTCCCGACATTTGGCCCATCTACACTGGGCCAAATGTCAGGAAAAAACCCTTTTTCAGAACATCAGCAGTTGCATTCCCTGGAGGCAGCTGCATTCCTTGGACGCAGCAGAGTTTTTCTGGGATACCTCTGGTCTAGATGTACCCTAAGTGACAGACTCTTCTCAATCCTTCTCTGGCTGGTAAAACCTATAGTCTCACCCTTTGCCTCAAAGACTGGGTCACAATGTAGCTACCCATAAGGAAAGAATGAGGGAAGCATTGGAAGCATACAGTTCTGGGGTAGAATTGCTGCAGACAAAATTTTCAGTGAATATTCCAGGCTGTCAGTAGCCTTTGAAAATAAGTACCAAGGAAACAGAAATGTGGACTGTACTCCTAAGCAATGAAACTTAAAATAAGCATATGTATGGACTCCTGGCGTAGGATTTCACTCTGAGTGGATGGATGAATTTTTTTTCTTAACCCAAGTGGCTGATCATTTATATATTGGTTCCTATAAAAAGGAGCCATCTCACAAAAGCATTTGAGATGCTATATGCTAATGAAGATGAAATGAAGATGGGCTCAGGGCCTGGAAGAATCCACCTCCAAACAATGTGAACAAAGGAAACGATCCAAGAAAGGACAGAGACGATTAGAAGAAAAGACACAAGGTGGTCAGAGGTGGCTGGTGGGAACAGAAAAGCTTTGCACTTGGCTAAGAAGGAGACATACAGCCATGTGGCTATGCTCTGCCTGAGGGCGATAGAGGGTCCAACCCCTCAGCTTCTATGTCTTGGTCCCCCCCACAGCCAATGATGCTGTTGATGGTCAAGGGCTGCTGTGTCAGATGGGCCCTGGAGCTGCACATTGATGTGTCCAGTTGTTATGGATGAATGTTCCTGTCTCCCAAGAGCCACCATGTGGAGAGATGCAAGTGCCTGCTGTCTACCCTCCACAGCCTCCATAGGAGACAGCCAGTCATCATTCTGAGTTCAAGAGCATGCTGACAAGACAGCTCCATGCACCTCCTTCATCAGAGCGTACCTGCCATCACCCAGGAGCACCAGCTGGTGTATGGTTGGCTGACAAACATTGGGTGCAGGTTTGATCTGGGGAACACAGTACTGATGATGGAAAGAGGGAATTGAGGGTGATCTCTGGCTCTCAGACATCCAGGCAGGACAGAGCTTTGGGACCATACTCCCTGCTCCTGGATGCACAGACTGCAGCAGTGGTGAGGGATGTTTTTCACCAGCTGCTACTAACCTGAAGCCAGGGAAGTACCTTGCTGCTGCCTTTGCTTGTTGCTCAACCTGTGGATACCACAAGGAAAGATAGCTTTGCTATGCCACTGGACATACTGCTCTAGTCTCTGCACCAAGAAGGGCTGATTCATATGAACCCCTAAGCTTCAGATGCCTTGGAGAGACATAGGGGAGAGGCATTTGTTCCAGGGCCTAAATTATTAAGGGCTTTTCATGCAATCAGTAAAGCCTCTTACACTAATTACCCTATTACTTGTCTGCCTTTTGCTTTTGGCACTGCTGACCCCTCACACTTTCTCTTGTCTGGCAATTATACTTTTCCTTTCCTTGGTGCCAAGCCTCTGGTGCCATGAAAATGCTTTACAGGCATGATGTATCCCGTCAGCAGCACCGGAGAGACGTGGGAGAATCAGGGAGGTGGAATGACCGGCCCCAGGTCACACAGTGAGTCAGTACCAGAGCTGGGAAGAGAGATGACTACCCCTAACTGTTAGGTGGCACTGCATTTTTGCTAGGTTGGGTCTTCAGCATGAGATGGTCTCTGGTCTAATGGCGATCACATGGGAAGCTTCTTTTTGACTTGATCATGCAGTTGTTTATATATTTCATGCAACATTTTTGTAGCAATCCCCTGTTGGATCAGTTCCCTCTGACCACCCACCTAGCGCTCCTGAGGCAGCTGTGACTCAGATCTCGTGAGGAAAAGGTTGATAACGACACATATGAAAGAGAATAATTTTCATGCCTGTCTAACATGGGGTGGTAGGGTGACTGTCCTCAGAAAGGGTTAAAACAGGCAGGAGGGAGCCTGAACATAGCCCAGGTCAACCAGGGAGAAGCTTTTAAAGAGCCAATCAGGGTGTAGCTTGATAGGGCAGCCTTGTATATAAAGATCTACCCATCAAAAAGCATCAGGTAAGCCCTAAGTAGGGAAGGTGCAGGACCTGGTTCCTGGAGAAGCACCTTCAGGAGAGGTGTTCAGGGATTACAGTGCTGAGCAGTGTCAGGTCACTCACCACAGCAGCAACATAGCTGGGAACTAAACACAAGTCTCCTGAGTGCCAGCCCAGCACTCTATCCACTAGGCCACACTGCCTCCTCATTAGTCAACACTGGTCAGTGAGTGGTTGCTGTGAACCTACTTCAGCCTATGGGCTCCATTTGTCACGATTGTTCTAATTCACTATCTGTGCTCTGACCAGTTGTGCTCTATTATAGGATGACTCCATAAAATGTTCCAAGTGTCTGTCATGTTTCGCAAAGGCCGGTTCCCATGAACATCTGTGATACTTTCTCATTCCACAAACTGGTTGTGCAAATATCCACAGGGAATAAAAGGAGCAGTGAATACTGTTCAGGTGCATTCATAGGGCTTACTTACATGAATGTTTGTGGGTGCTCTGGAGTAGTATTTACCTAGCTCTAGCTAGGACCACAAAGGTCTTCTTCCTGAAAAGGAACATTCTTTGGGATTAGTGGCTCAGATTCAATTCTCCCCTAAATCATGAGGAGCTGTACTTGGTCTTGTATCTATGGGCTCGGTCTGCAGTTCTTACCCAACCCTAACTCCCCCTGAAGTCAGTGGGGCTATGTCTAGACTGGCATGATTTTCCGCAAATGCTTTAACGGAAAAGATTTTCCATTAAAAGCATTTGCGGAAAAGAGCATCTAGATTGGCACAGACGCTTTTCCGCAAAAGCACTTTTTGTGGAAAAGCGTCTGTGCCAATCTAGACACAGTTTTGCGAAAGAAAGCCTCGATTGCCATTTTCACGATCGGGGCTTTTTTGTGCAAAACAATACCGCGTTGTCTACACTTTTGCCCGAACGGGAGCAGCAAAGCATTTCCGCAAGAACACTGACAATCTTACATGAGATCGTCAGTGTTCTTGCGGAAATTCAAGCGGGCAGTGTAGACAGCTGGCAAGTTTTTCCACAAAAGCAGCTGCTTTTGCAGAAAAACTTGCCAGTCTAGATGCAGCCTGGGAGTATTGCCTGAATATGTCCTATACATTGCCCTAAAGTTGTGCACATTTGCCCTGTTCTCACAGAGCTGGAGCCCTAGTCTCACCTTGTATGCTTAGACTAGAAATTGATTCACCACTTTAAAAAATAAAAGAGTGCATATCTGTCCCAGAAGCCTGTAGAACTGACCTGGTCCTGGTGCAGGGCAGAATCTGTAATGAATTACTGCTAGGGACTGAGAGGCTCTCAAACAAAAGGCAGAGAAACAAAGGGAGCATCTCTTGAGGTTTACAGTATGCAGCATTGATTGTGTTAGAGGTGGCGAGGGCAACTCTCCAGACAGCATAGCTAATATCCTTCCATCTGGACAGCAATTTGGTTCAGCTTAGTGGATTCTGAGGAAGAGGGCTTATTTGTCAGTCCCTTTGCTCCATGGTCTCTCTGCAGAACACACACACAGACAGTCACAGTTAAGATGAAATAGGAATGGCATGAATGTTCAAACACTATTAGAGAGGACACGTCAATGAGGCATGCATCTCCAAGAGAGAGAAATCTAATAGGCTCCCAGAGGGACTGTGATACACTTTGGTCTAGTCTGATTTTAATAAATGCCCCTGGCCATAATTTCTCCAGATGACAGTCCTGAATATTCACATGAGCAACAATGTAGGAGAGATCTAATAAGCCATTCTCCCCTTTTCCCCAAGCGTCATCATTCTCCTTGCTGAGGCGAACCAGCTTTATAAGATGAGACAGATAATGCCCATGAAATTATAATTGACTTTTGTCTCCTTAAATTCCTTGGCTCTTTCATTTGTGAACTAACAAGCTTTCAATGCCTTTGTTCTATATACAAGGAATCACAAGTATTTTCCCTTTCTGCCCATTTGCTTTTACAGTTCACTATAGGAGTACAGGCAGTCCCCGACTTACGCGGATCCGACTTATGTCGGATCCGCACTTACGAACGGGGCTTTTCTCGCCCCGGAG